CCCCAAAACCCCAAAACCCCAAAACCCCAAAACCCCATAGGATTTACCAAAAATTGAAACTTGTCTATTAGAAGTAAGTAATGTAGATCTGAATACCTTCTTTGAGTATTGATCATAGTGAATTTGTTACACATAAAGCATTAATTAGGTAGATTTCTGCTCGATAAGGTTCGGAACCTTGATCTTTGGTTTTCCTTTAGTGTCATTTAATCTACTATACACTCTATCTGACATTTGTGAAGGTGCTAGTCTTTCATAATTTCCCATTAATTTTGGATCTTCACCAACAGCTCTGGGAACAATACCGTTGAGAATATAAGTAAGATCGCGGTTCATCATCTGCTTCTTTGCATTAGTACCATTTACACTAGTATTTTGTTTAATATCTTGGCTGATCCTTCTCTCAAGGACCTCAAATAACCTCTTCCTATCAAAATCAATAGGATCGATCAGGTCAATAGTGTCATCAATGAGTCTTTGCTTTATAATATCATCTAGCAAATGGTCTCTGGCGAGGGAAGGACTCGAGTTGATTTCCACCAGCCATCATTTGCCATTATCATCGATCATGACATCATATCCATAAAGTTCAAAGCATCATGGATTATTAGGAATTTCCTTTTGGCAAGCAATGAGGCTCTTCACTCAGATTTCCTTAGTCTGCTCCCAAATTTCATCATAATCAATACCTTTCTCGGTAAAATGCTTCTTTAAACTTGTTAAAGAGATTTTAGTACCACCGAAGGTAACATCAGCTCAGTCAACATCATTCTTTGTCATACTGTTTTTCTGGATGGAGTAATTAGTTAAGTGCACAAATTTGTTAGTCATCTGCTCTGGGTCCAGTGTGAAAGGAATAGTACTTAGTCTCGCAAACCCTTCCTTATAGATAAAGGCCTCCAGAGGATTGAACGAGGTAGTCAAGACGTATATCCTTAAGTCAAATTTGAATCCATTCAGAAGCATTGGATTCTTTAAATATTTCTGAATCACCAGTGGTTCGCCATAAGTGATCGAAGTGACGTCATTGATCAAGCTGATACCTCTTCCACGTGATTTCGCGGCAGGCTTGATGATCCAGTAATTCTTCTTGCCCTCTCGTTCCTCACATTCAAGGAAGGATTCAATAAAGGTTACATATTCTTTAGGTAGGATATAAGTTTCAGGCATGATATAGAAATATTTCTTGTTTCCCTGGCTCAGCCTCATCGCTCTTTCCAAGTTCTTCTTGATATTATCCTTACGACACAGTTGTTTCGACTGAGGAAAATGATTACATCTCTGCCATACGAGAAGTTTGGAGATATCTATCCGAATCTTGGACCAAGACCACATAAAGTTCCATGAATTTCGTAAGTCCAACCCGTGTGGAAGCTCATTCCACATTTTCTTCCGACTGAAAGCACGAGTGATGATGTCATAAACCTCAGTTTTGTTCTTGACAACCCTGAATAAGAAATTTGGCTCTTTTTCGATATCAATAAGTTTGTTTTTCTTGAGTTCGGTTTTGATTTTCTCAATATTCTCTTGAACAATCGCCTCTTCATCCATTTTCTTCATTTTTAGATACCGCTGCTTTAGTTGAGCCTGAGTGTATGCCTGCCTAAGAAGGTCATTATCCCTGTTATTTTACTTCAAGTTCCATATCATTAATCTTCTTCCCAGTCATAACGTAATGGTTTGGAACTGTGTAGTCGTAATAGCTATTTTTCCAACGGAGCAGCCTCAAATTTGAACTTTGGTGCAGCAAACAATATGTTTGAATCCATCAAGCTGATATAAGTGGAGTATAGATTCCGTACCTCTCTCAAAGTTGCACTTGGATCAAAGCTCTTGGGATGCTGAACAAAGCTGTTAAATATATCATAGAATGAACTGTAGAGATGAGAATAGTCCACAACATCTTCATCTATGATTTCTTCCTTCTTTTTAGCCTTCTTCTTTTTCAATTTAGGCTGACGTGGGACTCTAGGCTTTTTCTCTGTTAGTGTATTTGCCTGAGATTTGTCATCATTAGCACTTTTCTGTGATATTAACTTCCTTTGCTCAGTAACTGGCTCTTCTACAGTGAGAGTCTGAAGCTCAGACTGATTCTCTTTTAATGGAGTCAAAGGAATAGTTACCTTTGGTCTATTCATCATTTCATCAAGCTCAGTATTCAGTTCTTCACACTTCTTCAGTGTCTCAGACTCTGGTAAAGGCTCTCCCTCTAAGGAAGGGTTCTCCATCATTGACTGTAATTTGTTCATCAAGGGATGGATAAACTGCTCATCATTTTCCTCTTGTTTCTTTGAAACAGGTTTTGATTTTCTTTTACTCTTCTTCATCTGCTTTCCCTCAGTTTCTTCAATTGAAGTATTTTCCTTATCAGGCTTTTGGTCGTCATCATTCTCAGAATCTACCACTTGTGTCTTCTCCTGGTTATTTAATTCTTCCCCCTCCTGAGCCTTATGGCTTTTAGCAGGAGGAGATTCCTTGCTAAACATATCATTAAGGCCATCTTCTTGATCACTTTCCTCGTCACTTAAGCTTTGCTGCTGGATTTGCAGAATCGTATCGACTTCTCGCTTTCCATTCTCTTTGATTATTTTGACTTCACTCAGTGATTCTTTTTCCTGTGGAATATCATCTTGCTGTTTTATCGAAGAAACTTCCTCGGTTTCTGGCTGATGTTCTAGTTCATCATTTTGAGATTCAAGCTTAAACTGTTGATGCTGTGATTTATCTTCTTGCTTATTACTAATGTCCTCAATATGAGAAGTATCTTCAGAGGAAAGTCCCTTTTGAGAAGGAAGAGTTTCATCTATTTCATCAATCTGTTCTGTCTCGTCAGCTTCACCTTCTGGCGAGTCATTGTCTTGGTTAGTAAATTCTTCTGTGTCAACCTTTGTGACAAAATCTTTAGTCTCTTCTTTTAATGACTGAATGCCGTCAGATTTGTCTGGAGTTTCGCGCATTTTAGAGCTAATCACACTTTTAGGAGTCTCTGTTATGTCTAAATCTTTTTCTATTTTTGGAGTAGCTTTTGGAGTCTTTTTAGGCAACGGAGGTTTGAAAGGATTAGTATTGATTGAACCCTAAATTTAGCTTAGCAACCTTAACACTTATTTTGATTAAGAAGTTTTTACTTACCTTAGAAATATTTAATGAGCTCTCCCCCATAGAACTATTGGCTGTTGGTCTTTTGACTGACTTTTTGGTGATAGACTTTGTTCCTTTCAAATTTGGCTTCAGTGGTGGTCTCTTTTGTCTACTAGATGATCTTTTCAGAGGCTTAGGTCTTGCATTTCGAGTTTTAGAGTTTTCTCTTTTCTTTGGAGCAGCATACCTACTCTTTGTAGCACCACTAGCTGAAAATTTAAAATTTGAAAATTACAAATCATATACTGGCCTTCTTTTCCAGTCTGCTTGGTCTTAGCCAATTGCTGCTTCATAAAAGCCATCATATCTTTACTCTTGCTCTTCGATGCTAATCCTCTTTTAGCTGTACTAGATGAGCCAATCCTTGGTTGATTGTAAAGCGTCCCTGAAGTGCTCTTGTTTTTACCTGAAGTTGAATAAGAGTCATAATCATTCTCTTCCTTCCTCTGAATAGTGTCAGCATCGCTATGCTGAGAAGTCATGATACTTTCTGTATGAGGATCTTTTTCAGGCGATTCCAGCTGTTTCAAGTACTGATCAACATCAAGCATCAATAAATTATCATCTTCCGGCGGTTTCTGACTGTAATTATTCAATACATCATCAACTGTCATGGGCTGGCTAAGTTCCTACATCAATAACCTACACCAAATACCTGTTTATAATCATACGGTTTTCTTGGAGCCTGCTGCTTAGTCTCTTCGACTCCTTCATACTTATACTCCTTCATCTCCATATTAGCAAAGCTTGCTACCAAATCTTCAACTTGCCTCCTCTCATTTCTAAAATTTAACTAAACCCATACATAATTCCACAGTAGCAACTTCTCTAATCTCTCTAGCCTGGTCTTGGTAATCCTCAAGATCTTCACAATCTTCAGGTAACTCCTGTCCTGAAGGAAGTTCCTTCAACTCTTCAATCTGTTGGACTATATCCAAAATAATCCCAAAAGAAAGCCACCAAGGACACAAAGAATATTCCTGAAGGACTACTCACCATGAAGGAGGACCTCTTGGAGCTGGTCAGTCTCCATATCGTAGAGTTCTTCTGTGTAGGGAAGTCTTTCCATGATTTGAATTTGATGAATAAATTTATAATATTAAGTTTGAATGGGGTTTTGGGGTTTTGGGGTTTTGGGGTTTTGGGGTTTTGGGG